TTTCTTGGCGTGTTCAGAAAATGACGTCACAATCAGAGAACAATAGCTTTGTCACTGGAACATAAATTTGTAATGGCGGACGCGAAAAACCTACATTTTCAAGCTCAATATTTTCACTTAGAGGGCGCCAAAGTTCATTTCAATGACCGAAACAGGTACAGCCACTTCTGATAAGCTGAAAAGAAAGCATTTTTGTGAAAAACTTGACATTAAATTTTGATCGTAGTAGCACTTTAAGACAAACAAATTGAATTTAACATAGGCGAATTCCTCACTTTTGTTTACCTGTTTTTGTGACTTTTGTCAAACGTGACAGGGCTATTACTTGCGAGTTTTGTTGGGGAATTTACTTAACATTGATGTTTTTTGCTCTTCTACAAAAAGCTCTGTTTAAAAGAATGTGAAGTTTGGCGGAAGGGTTTTTCAAACAAAATTATTGTCACGCTTCTTACACAAAGTCTCCCCTCGTCTTTCCTCTCCCGTCCTGTTGCGTAAGTTCACTACTAGGACCCCCTGAGCCAGAGCCTTGGGCCGCCTGTAGACATCGACTGTCAAGGGAATATGAGACATTTGTAACAATAAAAGGTCCCAACATACTTACCAGCCCCCCCAAGTTTAAGCATCCAATCGGCAAAAGACTCCCCAATCTTCGATGTTAAATCAATTATTGATACTTTATCCAAATCCAAACTGACATACCATTCGCCGGTTATCGTCAATAACATCGTTACTTCATACCATGAAAACTCAGGACTCCGTTGACACTCCTTTATCACAAAATATTCATCAATTCTAGAGCTTTAACATCGTCACCAACTTGCCTCAACTTATCACGTGCGTCAGAAATCTCAGAAATCCATTCGTCACTTTTTCTCCTTCAATGCGTCCGCGCATAAGCTAGAAGCAGTCTGTTGAGCAATCACAGTGTTTGTATGAGAATCTAATGTCGAATAAAATTAGTAGAATCTTTGCTGTGTAGCTTTAGTTTACTATTCCTTTTTTTCTTCAGAACAGCCGTTTTACGGAAATTATTCGACATTAGAGGACATCAGTTGAGACGACTGATGCGGTTCTACACAAAGGAAGGCGCCATGTTGGGATGCAGGATAGAGTAATTTTTTTTCACGAGAGATTTCATAATATCATGTGTTTTGTACCTAGGATATAGTAGATACAGTAGATACGGGTACAAATCTTTGATTGGAAACGATTTAAATTTGTCTAGTCACTCTTGGGCCGTGAATGCAAGACTCAGTCAACAAAGCAGAATGATGGACGATTACTACTTTGCAAGCAGAAGCTACGTTTTCGCAGGGTAATGAAGTTCGAAGTACCGCATACCGGATCACACCGCGAAAATGTAGCCTCTGCTTGCAGGGTAGACGATTACAGAAATTCCTCGACAATTAAATTCTGTGCTGATATATTTCCTTTTCACAGATTTCCCTATATGAAGGTTTTTTGAAGGAAAGTATTGTCTTAATGCCTTTTTATTGCCCCCGCAGGGATTTCGCCCAGAAGGCGAAATCCCGAGGAGACGCTCTAGTAACTCTACGTATATCAATGAAAATAGGTACCCGTAACAGTTGAAATATACAGTCAGTATGCAAGAAAACATCTCGATTTGCTTGAACAGGGAACGCATGGAATCTTTGCGTAATGGTGACGTTTCTCTTTCTCGCGCCCGCAAGTAAGAGATGGTTTGGATGACGTAAAAGAGATGAAATCACGAAGGGTAAGCTTAGGTAGATTTAGTGACATCTACTGTACAATCATACTTCGATACTCTTTTGCGTTACTAGTTATCAGTGACATTCTGTGGAGCAGCCGTTTTGAAAGTTATGGACCAAAAGACAATCGTTAAGCGCACATGAAGTTATAAGGTGCGTATAATGCATCAGTCAATTTTACCTGCGCCCAACCTCCCCCTCCCCTCCCAGGCTGCTGCGGGGCATTTGCCCGCCCTGTCAGTCCCGGGGGTGGGGCATTTGCAAATTTTGTACTGCCCGGGAGCCGGGCATTTGCCAACCCCGGGGCCATTCCTGAGCTTTTGACACGCACGCGGTTTCCTATCAGAATATAACTACCGCAGAAGGTTTTATTGGAAAAAAACGCAGATTGGCTCATCTGTCAAGGATATAGGAATAAATTGAAGAGGGTTGCAAAGGCATGTTCTCGATTTCATCGCATGCATTCCTTCATTGCTTTAAGCCAGGATTACATAGCGAAATTGTAGCTATCGATGTGAGTCAAAGTTTTTTGGTTACTGAATCAAATTTCTCTTGATATTATTTGATGAACATTCTTTCATACTTATAAAACTATTCATAACATATAACTTAACAGCGCTCTGTTAATTTTAATGCCAATAATTTTATATCAATGCTAAAACCATAAGCTGGTGCATGTCGTTGCGGCGTAAAGTCTTAATTACAATCCTAGCGCTATTACAAATCGCACATTAAAATGCTTAAAATGGCACTATTCGACTGTGCGATCAATAAAAAATGTTGCAGTGTTGACGGAGGACGGGGCATTTTCCCTCTTTTTTCGTTCCCACCCCGGGGGATTTGACAGCTCAAAAGTCCCCACCCCCGAGAATTTGCCATCCAAGGCAAAAGAAATGGTAATGCCCGGGGGTCAGCCGGGGGGAGGGGAGGGGGGGCTGGGCGCAGGTGGAATTGACTGATGCATAACTCGTGTGTAACACTAAGAGAGTTTGCGAGACACGAGTTCACAAATCTTTGATTGGAAACAATTTGCAAGACACTCTTTGTCTTTCTTTGGGGGAATAAGACTCCACAAACAAGCAAGATGGGTGAATCAATGGCTAGCTTATCACTAGCAGAACAATGGATGATTACAGAAATTCACCGACAATTAACTTCTGTGCTGACTAATTCCCTGCTCACATGCAGATGTTATTCCATAAAGTTAATTTTAAAAAGGTAGAACGCGCGAACGTGAATTGATCAAATCCTTGAATTTCTCAGGTGATTTCTAAGGCTTGCTTTCCGGTAAATAGAACTGAATGTAAAAAGTGGAAGAAAAAATCGCGAGAAATTTCAACTTCTAATTAATTCTTTTCTGATGGTTTAGAATAAACTATTCTCGAAACTGAGAATGTTTTGATCAAAACTGTGCAAATTGAACTGAATCAGTGCATTAACTTCAGCGTTTCCTGTTTCTATCTCACCTGAATCGGTATTTTTTTTAGAAGAGTACCCAACGACCAAGAATACTTTTGACCGACAATATACAAAGCGGGGGCAGTTGTAGTGTCAACTATTATTAGTTTTAGTTTTAAAAAATGACTAGAACGGCGAGTGTGAAAAAATTCTCGAAACACCGAGGGTGTTTTGATAAAAGCTGGGTAAATCGACCTTACTGTCCTGACTCAGTGGATGAAATCTTGCGTTGCCTGCATGTGTGAAAATCTTCAGTATGATTATTTTAAACAGCTAGAACAAAGACCAAGGCTACAATTGGCCTACAACATACAGAGCGGGGGCACCTGTAGTGTCAACTAGTGACTAGTTTATACTGATACTAATGTTGCGAAACCAACAATTCTCGGCTTGCACTGTCACGCAATGAAAAATAAAAATTGCAAACCATTCAATACAGAAGGACTAGAATCTGGGAAATGAAAAAAGATAAATATGCAAAAACCCTTGCCAAGAATCAGGTCTGTGAAATATTTCAAATGCGAGATATTGGGAAAAACGGTTTACCTAAATTTATAAAGCTTTGTATGGAAACGCCATGTTGGTGTCCCTTTCAGGAACACTAATGTGGCCGCCGGATACAAACAGAAACATCTGTTTTCGAGTTTTCCTACTAATGCGTGAATTCTTCGCTTGAGGAACTCATAAAGATTACAGTAATATTTGTTCTGAGACAAAGAATGTTTAGATTGCAAAATATCCCAAAATCGGTAATGTTTTTAACCCACGTAAGGCCGCCAGCTAAATGCCGCGTCACGCAAAAGCCTGGAAATTCAAGCGTCCTCTCTCGCAAAACGAAGAACCCTTTCGAACCAAACATTTGTTTATGTAAAGGTGTTTAGGTACTGTAATACCTCGTAAAAGTAGAAACTCAAAAGAATCGATAGTTTCTTAGTTTGATTTTTGGTGACGTCACGTGTAACCCAAGAATTAGCAAGTTTCGTCAAGTCGGAGCCTGACCGCTTTATCCGGCGATTCCCGCAAACCAGGACTGTTTTGCTCGTCGGCGGCTACTCTGGCCAGATTTTCCCACGCAAAAATCTTTTAACTCGTCGAAGAAAGTGAAACCAAGCTCGCAAGTCACATCGCTTGCTGTGCGTGATCGGCAGTGAAATGAATTACCAGGGTCAAAATTAAACTTCGTGTACTGGACACAGATGAGGTAAAACATAACTCTTCTTTGTTTTCTGTTCAGGAAAAAAACGTGCTTGGTATTGTTTCGTGGTTTTTGTTGTTTTGTTTTACGTCATCTGTGCCCGGTACTCGTCTGCTCAGTAAATGCAATTACCCGCCGAGTTTAAAATTACATGACGCCACTCTCGCCGACCAATAGATAACCACGCAGTGGTGATTTATGAGGGATTCGATCTCTTTGCTCATTCTCTCTTGCCTATACTGAATGGCCTAATGAGAGGCAATTTTCCTATCATCCACGACTCTTCATTCATTCAACTATTGCGATGCCACATATTTACTAACATAAGATATGTCATATTTGTTTACGAGTCAACCATTATGACCTATTATAATGATCTTAAAGTTAAAGAAGCTGTAACAATGACATATTCACATTTAAACAGAACACGAAACAGATCCATGCATGTGTTAATTATAACAAGCAACCAAAACACTTTGCACATACGTCACAGCCTTTATTGAGTACAGTCAGCCTTGAAGTTAACACTGTAAAATACTAATGACAATCCAGATTTTTTTGGTCAGTGTTTTCTTTTCCATTTCTAGTGAAAACTAGCACCAACAGCCCTTCTACGAAAAAAAGGTGGTCTCTTTCAAGTGGTGGACTATCTCCTCTATTTTCCTTTTGACAGTCAGGTTAATGACGTCTGCATCCAACACTGGATTCTCCTGATCGTAAACACGACGGTATCGTTCCTCCACATGGTTGCAAAACTGTTTCTGAAAAATTATAATAACCAATGGTCAAAATCTTGTTTTCTAAAAATGACGTTACTTCAATAAAGCTTGAGTGAGTAAAATTGAAATTGCCGTGACACTTTTGGGTCACTGTACTTTCATGACTAGAGCAATTCTTCGATTTACCGACTGCATGCGAGTGATTTCGAACAAAATACACTTATAAAGGGAATGACACTATTTTCCCCCGATAATTCGATAGCCTTTGTTTTCACCGACGTCTCTGGAAGAACATAAAGACAAATCGCTGATTTCTACAACGTATTTATCGAATATTCGTCTCCGCAGTTGCTCCTGCGAGATGTTCACTCCTCGCCATCTTGACACAAATAATCAGATATTGAATACCGCTCATGATGCTTAGCGATACCAGTGCGCACACCGCCTGATTTACATCCTAACCGGAATTTCCGGGAATTTGTGGTAAATGGTAAACAACCAACGTGTTCGCTTTCCATCTACTTCAATCGCGTTTCGATTTCCGTCACGTGTTTCATTAAAACCAATCACCTCGGAGCATGGGTTCTAATTATAAAGGTAAATTTCTAGGAATAGATAGAATTCATCCATTATTTAAAAATACGCGAAATCGGCTGCAATTTATTAAACCAAACTTGAAAATATTAGTAAAATCATTGACAACTGAACTAACTGAATTCCACTTTAACTCACCCAGCTTCCCAATCTCAAGATTAGGAAGTAGAGATGTTCTGTCAATGTGGAGAGCAGCTTCATTTCCTGCTTCTGGCGATGCTCTTCATTCGCCAAAGCCACGTCGGCAACAATTTCTCCGCTGATGACGATAAGAAGAGTTAACTTACTCCATGACTCAGACAGTTTTTGGTCACTTGCATCTTCAAACTCAAGCATAAGATTCTCAATGTCTTCCCTCGTTTCCACCAAAGATCTGACCTCCTTGCTAACATCGAATCCATGTCGCTCTATGTTCGTCATAATCATTAACAAATATCCTATAACCTTGTCCGCGTTGTCCGCGATATCAGGAGCAAGCTGAGGGCTTGGCTCCATCCCCTGCCTCTTTTTCGAATAGGAATGAAGAAGGACTGTCAAATTTCTCTTGATTTCATACTCCGTCAAGTTGCTTTCAAGATCCAACCTCCTTACTTCACGCAAACCTTCCTTTAGAAAAGATACGTCTGACCAAGAGATCTTTCCCGCATCTTCTAACGAAGACAGAATGCTCAAAGCTCCAGTATTTCCCGTCACAATGAGCTCTTTATAGTAAAAACGAAGCTCCTCTTGTTGATCTTTCTCCAAACTGCGACTAATTTGGAGAAGAACAGCTCTGAAAGCCCGTTTGAGATTTCCGATTATGGAAACATTTATATGAGAAGTTGTTTGTTCACACAATGACATGAAGAGGGCGAAGGCAGGTCGATTGGTTCTTTTTATATCCTGAAACAGCCTCGTACCCAGGCCAGTTCGCGCTATCCGTGTTACCAGAGGAGGCTTGGAACCAAGTGCGTTAGCGCGAGGCCTGACAAAAAATGGCAAAAAATGTCCCAGATCAGCGAGAAAAAGTCCCAGACAATTTCTCGACGAAAATCTTCTGTCTTCTGCGACGATCACGGAATATTTCGGGCTCATGAGATTAATACATCTCTTCCGAGCACCTGTGGACCGTTTCATCTGATAGCAACGAAATGTGGTGAGAGTTTTTCCCTGAAGCTCGTAAGTTAAGCATATTATTTACAGTCTTGTTCGGTACGCGAAGCTAGAAAAAAGTTTCTGCGTAGTTGGGCATGGGACGATCACGGTACACTGTATGTACACTAATATCAAAGGCATCATTTTCATTGAACAAAATGGGCGTGGATTTCTTAGTTTACAGGGCTATACTGGCTTATTTTGCCTTTGTCACGTTCGAATTGTTGGTAGGAAAAAATCACGAGAATCACACAGTTTTGCAGGAAAAGCAAAAAATACTTAATTGCATGTTAGTTTTTTGTTAATCGTGTATCCAGGCCAGTTCGCGATATCCGAGTCACCAGAGGAGGATTGGAACCAAGTGCGAATTTTCCCGACAAGCTTGACAGCTGACGTCGATCTGAAATCGCCGAGGACGACTGGGAACAAGGCTGACCCTGAAATATTGAGCAGACTTGAGCAGACCAAAATTACCTCCGTTGCTCGTTTTTTTTAGTATGCAAATTTTTCACACGTGGGAAAAATGCAGATTCGCTGACTTAAAAGTGATAGCTTTGCATCTTTTAATTTTCTCAACTAAAAAATAATAAAACAGTCAGCACAATCCGGCATTTTACCTTCTTGCGAGATTAAAGGAGATCTCGAAGGTTATTTCTGTTAGCGTGAAAGGTAAAACGTTTTCGTGAAGACGGCGACACAATGTTCTAGTTTTAATATTTGACCATATTTTTCTGTTGCCTTTATATTTTCCTCGGCATTTTCCCCCATTTACGTACAGTACATAAATATTTAAAAATCTTGGAGAAATATCTCGCCAACTTTTTCAAAGGATATATAAATTATCTCAGAACAAACCAAACGAGTTCTCAAGTGAGTACACTTGCAATATGCGAATTTACTAGAAACAATGGTCTAAAAATATATATATTTTTATACTGAATTCAGGTAAATATATTATCTGCCACTTTGGAAAGACGAAACGACAGTACTAAAACTGCATCCTCAACTCACGTATGAACAAAACGAAAAACAATATTACAAACACACTTTGTAGTTCTCCTCGGTTGTGTTGTTGTTTTACTGCAGGTCTGAAAAAACTTGCTAAACTTATTAATCGATATTAACAAACAGCAAACAGCCGACGAGCGAGAACACCAGTTTTCCTGGTTTATTTTTTACAAAAAGCGAAGGCAAACGACAAGTATGTTCTCTTAAGACTAGCAGTACTAGCTCTTATAATAATGCCTACAAAAATTCCTTGAACAGCGATGCAGTACTTCACATACAGTTGGCCATTGAGGTTTCTTTCGCAGTGAGCCTCCGCTTGCGTATCCCGTTCAGAGAAGTCGTTCCCGGCTAAACTTTCAAATGAAACCACTTTTAAGATGGACAGTATTTTGATTTGCACTCGTTTGTTGGTAAATCTAAAGGCACCTTGCTCGCCGTCAACAACTTGCAGTGGGATTCAACTCCGCGATTAGTTCCGTAAATAAAGCAAATCCTGAGAAGATATGAACAACCATCTGAAAATTTTTTGAATTTCCATGGGACATATTAGGGCATATTTTTCCTAACATAAGACCATAACACAGCAAAAAAGACAGCAAAATCCTTCTGTCCGCAGACGGAGGATCATTCGAGAAAACAACCACGCGAGGAATAAGCGCTTTCAACTTCGTTGATTCCAACAGCCAATCAGATCCTGTGGCATTGTTCTAACAGCCAATCAGCGTTGCGGCCCAAATCTGGCTGTAGTGGGCAAAGTTGTGAGAGTTTGTATCAGGCCCAACTTTTAGCGGTAGCCGTTAGAGAGAACGTATGAGAACCGCTAAAATTGGGCCTGATCTCAGGTTATGTCTGTCACGGCAGTTTCTCACTGTCATTTCTTGGCTCTGAGCCCATCGAAACCCCTCTTTGCTCTAAGACCATCTATATACTCCTCCTTACGGCTCTCGTTGTCAATCCTTTGTAATGATAATCATATTACAGTCAAACCAGGTCAAGCGTTCCCGTCGCTAGCAAACTAATGAATTCATTAATGGAAAAATGATTTCGTTTGTTGATTCAATAATCCATTCATAAAATGAATAATCCAACAGTCAAATTGGACCTCGAATCAATAATTAAATTTTGATTTGGTTTATAACCAAAATCTACCTGTTCTTTATTCTGGTCTGTGGAGTTCAATCGTATTTGCTTCCCTTTTCCTGCCGTTCACGATTGCGTTTTTAATTGCCTTTAATAAAAATAACAGCTAAAAGAGATAGACCGCAAACGCAAAGAAACTGACAAAGGCCGGGGATCGAAATCCACCAATCACTGCACATACACTGACCTCAGTTTGACTATCGTTTTTCTAAGAGGTCAGGTCCGTTGCGCTGATTACTGGAAGCAAAACGGCGTACATGTAACAGTTTGTTTGGGTTTGAACTTCAGAACTCGTCCGCACTGGACTCTTAGAAAAAAAACAAGAAAAAATGTGTAGTTTTTCAAAAAACAGTAATCGAATCAACATTCGATTATGGAATCGTGGCTAAATATGAATATTGGATTGTTCATTTTATGAATGGATTATTGAATCAACAAACGAAATCATTTTTCCGTTAATGAGTTTATTAGTTCGTTAGCGACGGGAACGCTTCACCTGGTTTGACTGTAAATGATCCTCAAATAATAACTTAATCAAATCACGACCCCGTGACATTCTCGGAAAAACAGGAAGTCGCTTATGTCAATGGACGTGAGCAACACTTGTCAAATACAAAAATATTCCAAACCTCCCTGACAATTTGAATCAATATCGGTTGCCAGGGAGGTCTAGAATGTGTATTTGTAATGATGTATTTTTGAAAGATCAGAATAGCATAAAAGGTTATGCGTTTTTCAAATCTATCGTGGTGCTGTATTTGGAAGACTTTGAATATGATGAATTAGATTTGGTAGCACCTCCAAATAAATGGATTACAAGTACCACAATTGAGACCTGTAGAAACCCCGGGGGGGGGGGAGACTCCCATATGAAAGGGGCGGGGATGCTCGTCGGAAATGTATTATTTTATTTTATTTATTTGCGACACAAAAATTACAAAAAAATATAGGAAAAGAAGAAAAAAAAAGAAGTGGCGAGGATACCGTAACAAAAAGGTAGGAGCTTATGAGAGGTTAGAAATTTTGAATTAAACCCCTAAAGGACACCAATCTGGGCGTGGTCCAACCTTTTTTTGATCCCCCAAAACGATCATTTTAATCTTTCGTTACATGAATCGAATAAATAAAACGAATTGAAAATATATAATTTTTAATATTTCTTCGAGTGCAACCCTAAAAGAGACCTTTACGGCTAAATATAATGGTGTTTTGCCCACAACACCCTAAGCGAGACCAAAATCTGAAATTTACACCCCTAAGTGAGACAACAAGCATCCCCGCCCCCGGAGTAGAAACAGTACAGCAGATTCTTCAGAGCATCGTTACAAGAAATGAATGGCCAAAAGAAGGTCTTAGAAAGGCTTGGAACAGCAAGAAGTCTGAGCGAGGAAAGATGCTAAAGCAATGGAACAAAAGAAAAGAAAATTTGGCTAATTGGGTTACTTTCCAGCAGATCCTTCCTTGAGATCGAACTAAGAAACGTACAAGAACTTGCATGAAAGAATGAGAGGAAGCATGATTACTTGCTGATTGCATGAGCCAAGATTTGTGTGTCAAAAACGTCCAAAACCATAAGAAGATATCTGTAGCCCTTATTCCATCTCAACAAGATCAGAGCACCAGATTTCATCAATATGATTTACAATAACACGCCGCCGATCGAGTGAAATTACATTACGCACGTTTTATGGGTTTATGTAATTCATTTGCCAATTGTTGTTGCCAACTTATTTCTTCACGCGACGGCTTTTTGCGTTTTTTGGTACACTGAGAGCGAGTTTCTGTTTTGTGTTGATTATTTCTAGCTAACCAATGGCCCCATTGTCGTTCATTATATGGCACATTATCTAAGGCTTTTTCCATTTTTCTATCTGCTTTAGTTTTGTACTTTCGGTCGTCTTTACAGACAGAATAGTGGACATCGTGTTGCATTGATATTGCATCCCCCGCCCTCTGCACGAGGGGGCTCAAGCAGTTTTTTTTTTTCTTGACAAATTTAGTTTTAGTTATACCACATGATGCACAAGTACAGAAGAACATCAGTCTTTCATTTTTTGGCTGTTTTATATCCAGAAGGCTCAGCACATTCTGTCTGTTTCTTTTCTTTCACGCAATAGGATTTAACCATTATATACAATATGATTATACACCTAGTTCAATTAAGGTTCTTTCTAAGAAGAATGATGCATGATCTATGTTTCATAGCCCGCGGTGCATTATTGTAGCAAGTCTAGTAAATTATGTGCCCGCAACGAACCTAGAAACCCAGAAAGCAAACGCTGCTAACGCTTCTATGCTATGTCAGCAGAATGTTCAGACAATGTATTTCAAGCCAAGACAGTGATTTGAGGTTAGGTTTTTCTCTGTGGCAGTATGCAAAAGATGCAAATTTTCAACGAGTTTGCTTGGCTCCCGCACGTGGGAATTTTGGATAGAGTTTTAAAAAATCAAATTCAAGGCGTTTGTTGAACAACAATAAATAACTTACCATTACGTGTTTATCTATTTTCGAGGCAATTTTT